GTAGAGAAAGAGATCAAAAAGGTAATTTTATAATAATATTTTTATTTTAATTAGACTAATATTTTTTATTAGAAATTGCAGAATTACATTTAGTTGATACAGATTTAGCAAAAAAAGTAAGAGAATTGCGAGAACTACGATATGAAAAAGAAACTCTTGGTAGTCACAAAAATCAAATAAGAGCATAATATTCTTCATCTTCTGGCCTATTATATAAAGCCTGAAGAGCTTTAAAACTGATGAATCACGAATATAAGAAATCATTCTGGGTTAGTATAAGCTAATTAAATATTAAAGGAAATTTAATTATTTTATTTGTTTAATTTTACTTTTTATTATAAGATAATATTATACAAATATTAAAGGGCTTAGATAAATCTTTAGCAATAGACTATAAAAATCATTAGATAGATATTGAAGAGAATGTAATTTAAAATACTATTCTAGCTATAAAGAAAGCACTCAGTCTTAAATTTCAGTATACTGATATAAAAATAAAAAAAGTTTTACAGAATCTTCATCGTCATCGAAAGGATACATATATTATTTCAATAGATCTTTTAAAATCGAAAGCAAACAAATAAAAAACTAGTATAAATACTAGAAGAAAAGACATAAGTATTAGTTTTAATTGATATAAATTTATATTTTAATTTGCAATAATACTACTTATTTATTCTATTATAAAAGAAGAAAGAAAGACGTCAAAGAGGATTTCAGCATATAGTAAAAAACAAAAATCAGATACTTGTAAATCTACAACCTCTAATACCATAGAATAATTGGATTGAAGGCTTAGAAAGGGTTATTGGCAATTCAGACTATCATTCAGATGAAGTTTCTGAATCTGATATTGAGAAAGTACAAGAAGAAAAGGATAAAAATATTCATCCATCATGAAAAGAAAGCTCAAACTATGTACTTTATGTATATAATAAGCAATAAAGGTCTAATAGAATAAGTTAAATATTTAAATTAAAGTTTTCTTTAATTAATTTACTTTTAATAAATCTTCTTTACATTTTATTAATTAAAATTTATTTCAGGTTTGAAAACTTTTGTAACATGCTAATTCAATAGAAAATAGTATTTAAAATATAAAAGTTACGAGAAAAAGGTGGTATGAAGACTAATTATATGTAGAAAATGATTCTATACTACTTTGTAATATACCAGAATAGACTATTTCAAATTCATATCATTCTGGATAAATAGTTATATTTAAAGTTCTATATTTTCAGTGAAGCAAACAATTGATTAATATTATATGATTGGAATTTGTATTATATTTTTAAAAATGTTACACTATAGTATTATATTATCAGAAAAATTTTTATTTATTAATGATTGCAATATTTAATGTTAAATGACATTTAATGTAAACAAATAAATTTTATACAAACATCAAAATTATATTATATGCCTATTGTTAAATATACAAGAAATATCAAAAAACTAAATATTAATATTGATAGGATATTTTATACATATCAGAAAATATCAATATTTCGATTTGTCCACTAATATTCACATTAATTCATCTAATATGACTTAACTGAAATTAATACTGAAGGTTTCTGATCTACGCCAAAAACTGGTTAAGATTTATACATGCATATCAAACCTAATTTGAAACAAAATCAGTGTTAATTAGTATTAATATCGGATTCATGAATTTTACCTAGTTTTTCTTTTTTTGACCTATATATGATATTTATTTTGGATTAAATCAATAGCCACAATCAATGGTATTTTCAGCTACTCATTTTAATAAAAAACTTTGAGGTCAGCCTAAAAAAATTAAACAAGTATTAATAGAGCGAGAAAAATGGTTATTTAAAGGATTAATATTAGAATGTAAAAATTGTAAAGAAAAAATTCAAGATTCTTCAAGAATTTTTTGTTATACTCGTCGAGTAATATTTTTAAAACCTAATTTTCTTGTATAAAAAAAACAATTGAAGAATTAATTGAAAAAGCTAATTATAAATATATTTTTATCCCAAATTTCATTGTGAACTAAATTTCATTGAAAGATATTATAAAAGATATACTAGAGAAAATTGCAATTATTCATGAAATGGATTACAGCAAGTAGTACCTAAAAATCTTAATTTCATACTATTATTATAAAAAGGTATTAGTGGAAAATTGGCAGAGTATGCTGTTAAGAAATATAAATTCTATAAAAGAATTCTAGATAGTATTTTAGAAAAATTAAATAAAAATAAAATTAATTAGATAATTATCTTTTAACTAATAAAAATTAATCTAGATGATTAAGTCACGTAAAGATTGACAAAAAAATTTTAGACTTCTTGATAAATATAGATGTTTTGCATCATATCAACAATACAAAATCTAAATAACCTGGACTCTCTTTTAGAATCAAATCTATGTCAAGAATATCAAGAACCTGATCTACTTCAAGAATTTGATCCTTTTTAAAATTAAACATTAATAATTAAAGCTAAATCAACAAATTTGTAAACTTAAACCTGTATAAATTATTATTGGCTAAAAAAAAAAGAAAAGTCAAATATGCATAATATTGTATATTCATTATGATTTATTTTTATAAACTTTACAATTTTGCATATAAGAGTTATTGAAAATTTATAGATAGAAATAGAGGTTAGCATATAGATTAAAAAATATGTATATAAAAATACAAAAATAAATAAAGTTAATGATTAAATTTTAATATGAAAAATTTATTATAACCTTATAAAATAATATGAAAATTTTATTTTTTTCTATTAGAATATTACTTAACACGTAAATATTTTGGCAATTGAATTAAATTAATTTTATTATAATTATTAAATATAAAACTCTGTTTTCATACTTAAGAATATCTACAATTGCAGAATTTTTTTCTTTTTTAATATCACCATCTTTGTTGTTTTTTTAAAAAATAAGAATCTTGCTAATGGATTATTTTTCAACTACTGACAGGAAAATACTGCTAAACTAAAATTATGATGAATTCGTATTATTTCTAAAATATGATATATCAATATATATATATAAGGTGTAATATCACCTACTTGATAAAAATAATTAGAATTTAAAAATTTGCATAACCATGCATGTGTGTCATCAGAGAATTGTTTTGAATCAGTTCTTAGGTCTTTCATTGCTTTATAAAATAAATAAAAATTATTTCACAAATCTCTAATTAAAATTACTCATAAATTTAAAAAAAATTTAGTTAAATCAAAATGTTAAAGAACAATTAATTTATTTTGTCTTATCAAAAAAATATATTGCCAATTTGTTGATACTACAGAGGGTGAACAAAAGTTTCCAGACACTTTTCACTAAATATAAAACTTATAATTCCTTAGTATTAAAAGTTCTAATATTATTTTATTTAGAGCTGGTTAAGGCATACATTTCGTGTTAAATTTTTAGTACTTGGTTGGGCTTCTTTTGCCACAATCACAGCCTGAATTTGCTGTAGTATGCTATCGACTAAATTTTTAATGATATGTATCAGAATTTCTCGTCATGTCTTTTTAACATATTGGTCAAGGTCAGCAAGATTTGATGGTGATTTTTAAATATGCACAAATGTATTTTTTAATATCAGCCCATAAATTTTCAATTGGATTAAGATCAGGACTTTGGGCTGGTTAAGTAAAATATGGCTTTGTATTGTTCTTTGGTTAATTCTTTATTTTATCCCATTATTTTTCAATTTGGTAGAGATTTAGTGAATCAAAACAACAAAAAAAACACAAATTTTTTTATTTTGATTATGTAAATAAACAATAGATGGTCATATGACTGCAGTATAGTATTACAATTATATGACAAAAATTTTTTAAATTGCATTTATAAAGGTGTCTAAAAACTTTTATTCATCCTCTGTACTTCAAGCTAAAAATAAAACTTAACATTAATACATTCATTTCTTTAACTATTATATTTCTTGCTCTATCTTTTAAATATTTCTAGATTTAAGTTTATCAATTATTAATTGTTAAAGAATATCTGTGATGTGTAATATAATATATAATTCATATAGAATCCAATTTTATAAAAAGAATCATTAAAATTGCTGGTCAAATATATCCCTTATAAAATGTATGATTTATACAAATTTGATCTATATTTTTATTAATTATCCATTCATATAAGAAATTACATTGTTATTCTTTAACACATCATACTATCAATAGCAATATTTATTATTTGTCATATTTAATCCTAGACAAATAGCAAGAAATTTTCATTCTGATAAAAATATAACTTAATTTTCCATTCTATATTCTAATTATTTCTAAAACTTTTTTCTTTTAATTTTCTTAATTTCATAATTAATAGTTCTAAAACAATTTTAAATCTTATATTTTCAATATCAGAATATAAGATTATGGTATAATAATTTTCAGATCAATATATATTATCAATTTTATTAAGTATTGAATAAGTAATCATAACTTATTTAACCTTTCGCCTAATATTTTTGCTATCATTAGAAATTTATAAATATATAATAGGTTTGCTATATCTAACATATTTCTTTTAAGATGATCTGATATTAGATATCTTAAATATCAATAATTTCTTATCATTCACTTTTTTCAATTGATTGTTGTAAATTATCAATAATTTCAGCATTTTTAATATGTATTTCTAAATTTACATAATTATTAAATTGTAATAGTATTATATTTATAAGAGAAATTAGTATAATTTTATTTATTTTATATTTAATCTCTTTCTTTTCTATAGAAACTTTTCATTCACGTGATAGATTTTGATTAATTGAAGCTAAAGTCTGATATCTTTCACATGTTATCTGATATTTATCACATGTTTGAATAATAATTCTTGCTTTATACTTATTTATTCTCATTAAAACTAAGTGAAAAGAATTATCATTGATATTAAATTCAATTAATTTTAAATTAGAATTATTGCTTAAATGAAAATTTTTAGCTGTTATTTGATAATTAAATATTATTGAAATAGATTTGGCAATTTTTTTAGCTTGATTATTTTTTTCAGTTGAAGTTAAATTGTCAAATAATTTTAAAATTATTGCTTGTTAGTAAGCATCTCTTATTTATTGAAGTATTTTTAAGTGAAGACCAAGAAAATGTGATCTTGAATAGCGTGTCTTAGTTTCAAAATTTAAAGCTTATTATAAAAGTTATAATTGCATAAATAAAATTCTTACTAATTACTATTTAAAATAATTATATACTTTAGCATATAAATATGTTACATCTAAACTTGATTTTTCTGACTTTATATAATATTAAAACTTATCTTTATAATATAAAAAACTGGAATTTTTCTATGTATTTAATTATATATTTGATTACTTATCTTATTTTGAGTTTTCTCAAACTAGTTTTAACATTTAAAATTATTAGAAATTCAAAAATCTTTTGGACCTTTTGTATATTTAAGATAAGTTATAGATAAATAATTTCCTTCTTTAATAATATTATAGGTATAGCTCCATTTAGAATCAGAATATTAAAAGATAGATTCTTTAAGATAATTATAAATTTCAATAGGTTTTTTTTCTTAACTAGTAAAGAAGGTTTGTTGATTTTCATCTTTTTAATAAAATAAAAATTTTTTTTAAAAAAATTTTTTACATGTATATTATTTAAAATGATCAGTATATTACTGAATTTAAATTTTTAGATAAATTTAAAATTTAAATATAATATAATAATCTCATATTAAAAAATATATAGCATCTAATAATATAATACAAAAAGATCAAATTAAAGATTATCTATTTATAGTAAAATATCATATTATATTTTATTTATTATTTTTCATCTCAAAAAATTTTGGAAAACTTTTCTGATCAGCTAATATAATTAATTAAATATATAGCTTATCAATCACTTTTTTTACTATGATTAGGA